GGGTCATGATTTTTAAGTGAAAAATGGTTCAAAACATGAACCAATTGATCCTTTCAAGCAAGTGATCGATCTTTTCTGGGCAAAAACACTTCAACGGCTATTTTTTGGTGTTTCCAATGGCTATTTTCCTCTCCCAAACACTCCCAACGGCTACCTCTTCAATTTCTCTATAAATTGGGCACTCCAACACACCAAGAAGATTGATGAATCAAAAGAACAAGAGCCAATAAGCCACATTTTTATTCTCCTAAAGAATCAAGAGTTTTTAAAGCTTCAAAGTCCATATTTTTGTATTTATTGTATCCAATTTTTATTTGTTGTTCGTTCATCATTTTCTTGTACTTAAATTTAGTAAACACTTAGCCTTAGAGAAGTTGTTCTATTATTTGAAAAATTACCTTTGATATACAATGGTGGAAAAGAACAAGAGGTGAGGTATCATCTTGAGAGCTTTGTAGTGAGATTGGGTAAAATACTACAAAGGGTAGATGTTTCTATCTTAAGCCTTAAAAAGAAAAAGATAGGTTGTATTTTCAATTCAAGAATAGTGGATTGAAGCCTTGGTGTGGATAACCAAGAAGAGAGGACGTAGGTGCCTTGTGGAGAAGGACCGAACCTTTATAAATCATTGTGTTTGATTTCTCTATCTCTATCTCCTTATAATTTATTGTTATTTATATTTGATTTTAAATTCATTAATTGTTATTGTTTGCATTATATTTTTATCTAAAGTGCTTATTGTTTTAATTTCCATTCAATTATATTGAAATCATTTGTTTGGGAAGAATTTGAAGAAATCTAATTCACCCCCCTCTTAGATCACCATCTAACCTATAAAGCTAACATTTTTTTTGCATTACCAACTTAATTATTTTGTTATAATAATATCTTTTTATACTTGTTGTTACTTTTCATTATGTTTATAAATATCACAACTCTTTGATAGGGTGTTATGATACTTCTAACTCATTTTATGTTAAATAACATCAATTTTAAGGTTATTCTCATATTTTTACGTTAACATTTATTTATTAGTTTAGAATTATTTTTTGGATTTAAGGTAATAATTCTTTTACATTGTCAATTTAATTATTTACGTTATAATAATTTATTTTTACACTTGTTCTTATTTTTATTATGTTTAAAATTATCATAACTCTTTTTTAGTGTGTTACGATACTTCTAACACATTTTATGCCAAATTATACCAATTTTACAATAATTCTCTCATTTTTACATTAACCAATTTTCAATTAAATTTTTAAAAATATTATATTATCTTATCCTCTTTTTTTAAATTTTTAATAAATTGTATTTATTTGTTAAAAATTTCTTTTATTTTATTTAATAAACTAGTTTGTAACATGTACGATGCATGGATTAATTTTATTTATTAATTAAAATATTTTAAATTTGTGAAATTATTAATTGAAATTTATTACTACAAACAAATTGAAAAGATTATATTAAAATATTTGTCAACAATTAAACATCAGTTCATAATAAAAAATTTATGTAACCTTTAGATAAAAAAATTACTTTGGATCCAAAAGAAATTTCTTTGGAATATAGTTGATTCCCGCTTTTAAATCTATGAAATTCCAAAACCAATAATTAATGCAAGAACCCTACTCAAGTTACAAAAATATATAAAAAAACTACTTAACTTATAAAATAGTAAAAAATAATCTAGAAATTCTTGAATTGAAAAATATTTATTGACTAAGTAAAACTTACTATCATTACTTTTATGAAAAATTATATTTTGTGACTTAATATTCATATGCACAATTCATGTTATCACTTTTTTACAATTATTGAATTGTTAGGAGAAAAAATATATATAAGAAGGTTGTGAGGGAAAAACGAGATTACAATTATCAAAAGGGGAAGTAAAGGAAAATGAAAAAAGGTCAACAGAATGAGCTGAATTTACCACAGCTATTGGGACTAAAAGGTTCTAAAGGTCAGAATTGATTGCGGCGAAGAGTTCATCCAACCTATGATAAAACTATTCTCTTCTCGCTTGAGCGTTGTCTTCAATCTATTTTTGGCTTTCAGCAAACATAAGATTTTACCAATAAAAAACTTGACTATAATTTCTTTCTACAATGATAAAGAAAACCTGATCATCCAAATAAAAAGTTTTATGGTCGAGGTGACCTCCCTTTACTTCTACCTTAAAGTTATTAAACATATTAGAATAAAAAGACATAATGAAAAAGAAAAGAAATGTACCAAAGAATTTGAGAGTAAAAAGGTCAAAAGAAAGATGGCTAGAAGTATTAAAGGTTAGTTAAAACTGGTTCGCCTAAGAGCTAGAAATCTGTAAAGTGAGACATTGGGGCCCTAGAAAGTCCCTTATATAGCCAACTTAGAGATCAGATGAACGTCCCAAATTGGGCCACATCATCATAATGGTTACTGAGGATGACCCTTCGCATTTTCAACCTTTATACACTTAATCGCCAAATTTTCTCTTTCTTTAATAAATGTAGATTTAGATAAATTTGCACAAAGGGCATGTTAGTCATTCCAACACTAATTTTGCTGTTTAGTGTAACACAATGCCACGTCAACCATACATCTATGAAAAATTACATCTCTCACGGCTCAATACGAAAGAAAAATCACAAGTCTCATGTCTACTATTAAAATATCGAGACGATGAATGAATTGCAAACATCACAAAGTACAATGTCAACCATACCAATCTATGTTGACAACACTATCGAACTTGGTCAGTGCTACCCTCATTTACATTAGTGTTCGCTACTCACCACCTCAGCTAAATAAGGTCAGAATAATCATCAAAATACAAATTTTTAAAGCCCACACTCAATTAAGAGTACAACATATAGTGTGTATCAACATCTAGGGATTCATTTTGTTTGAAATGATTCATTATAATACAGAATTAATGCTTCGTGTGGGATTCTTCGTTGTCGTCTAAAAATTAGAGTTTCAAAGAATCCTAATTTCTGATTTCCCATTGTTGTATCTTTAAAAGTTGGACGTATGAATGCAGCCAATGCACTTTAAGCAAAGAATAAGAAGAAGCTTAGCCTTACCTTTGATTAATCTGAGGAACAAAGAGACAAACTTCTATCCGTACTATGTTTCCTGACCTCCAAAACACTAGCAGCCCTTTTAACATTTGTAAAAGCTCCGACTCTCCATCACCCTCGCTATCTCTAACGTCACCTTTGATTATTACGCTTCTTTTTTATAGGTTTTTCTATGCCTGTAGAGTAAATCAAACGATAAGATTCAAATTTATAGTTTTTAATTTGATTTAAACATAATCAAAAGTTTGAAAATTTTGTAAAATATTATGTCATTTTCTCACGGATAAATCAAATCTTCTTTATCAATTAACTTTTTACTATTTCTTAATCAAATTTCAAATTCGACAGAATTAGAGGTGTGAATGAATTAAAAATAAAAAAATTTTATACGTTTGTTATTTATTCGTTGAATTAGTAAATTTTAAAATATTATTCATGATAGAATATAAATGAATAAAAATTAAATTTATTTATAAATTATTTATTAAATGTTATTCTGTTCATTTTATATCTCCAAATATAAATGAAACGGATATAAATAACTTTTTTATATTCATAATTTATTTATTTAACTAATGAATCTTGAAATATTATTTTATAATCATTTGTTAAATTAAATAAATAAAAAATAAACATATTCACAAATTATTCATTAAATATTATATTTGTTTACATTTTTAAACAAAACGTAAGCATTTATTTTAAAATATTGATACTATATGATTCGGTCGTCATTATACAATTTGCAACTCTCTAACGAAAGATTGGGTAAAGTTTATATTGTAGCAAGACTTGTAATTGAACTTCCTAGTTACTAATTGGAAATTAAATTTTCTACATAATTTTCATTTTTTTTACACCTTAAATTGTTGTGTTTCATGTAATTTTTATACTAAAATCATACCTTCTTTTACACCTTAAAAAAATAATAATAATCAGCCTTGATCAACCATTAGCCTTCTAGCAATGCGCATACGTATTCAGTGACATCAAATTTTTGTCTGTTTCAATTCCTAATAACTTGGACAATATCCAGCTGCCAAGCCAATTTATTGACTTATTGGAAGGAACTTCTTGGAGTTTTTACCAAACCATAGTAATTTAAAAACTTATTTCTCAAAGTATAGTGCTTTTAATTTGATTTCCCAATTTATTGTGATTATTGCCATGTCATCACCTTTTTTATTGATTTTTATAGAAAAATTAGCTTGCAACCTCAATTATATTACTTTTTTATTTATGTGTTTAAATCGCAAAATTTGTATTTTTTCTATTATTATATCTAAGTCTTTAGAATTTTATGATATATATAAAATATAAATTATTTATTCAATTACATGTCATAAGAAAATTAAATTTTACTATGATTATATCATATCATATACAATTAATTAATTATAATTTAAAATTATGTGAAATCTATCAAAATTTTATCTAAAGCTTATAATTATAATTAATGGACTCTAACATAATGTTTTATCATAATTGGACAATTATAGAATTATAAAAAAAATTTGTAAGTGAAATGCATTCAACGATTACATATCTATTTTAAAGAAAATAGGCACATTTTGATATATATACGGTTTTACTCTTTGTACCGATTTATACTGGCATATACCAATTATTTCGATTGATATTAACTGTACCAGAAACTATAAGATTTTTAAAATTTTCTTTTAATTGTTTTCGTTATTTTATTCTTTTAATCAATTCTTAATACTTTTTCTTTCATGATATTTTTATTTTTTATAATTTCAACCACAAATAAATATATTTTAATTAAATTAAATTATTAAACAATAATTTGCTATATTTTCTTGATATTTATATATTTATTTCATTTATTCGAGGTTTTAAAATTTTGAATATTAAATATTCATAATTTTTAAAAATTCATATTTACATATAAACAAATAAATGTGTGTAATTGAAGTGTGTTCATATATGTATACATATTTTATAAACAAAATATTAAATAATGTCGGATAAATTCAAAATATACGCCGAAGCATATTGGCGCCGATACGTACTTAACACTGAAACGGTCGAATACAATACTGACTACTTTGGTTTTTAGTCCAAAACTTGTTCCCACTTCAATGCCAAACGGATCCTTACCATGCAACCTCGTGACTCCAATCTTGCATATAGGACTGATACAACTATCTCCGCAAATCAACTAAACTTGATAACAAATTCCTGGTTGAGATTGTGAGTTTCATATAATCTCTGCCTCAACATCCAAAATCATTTAACCTTGCCTCACCCTTCTTATAAACAGAAACAGGAGTCAAAACAACACAATTTTCAGCATATTGCTTGATAAAATTGAAGTCTCAGCCCACCAGCTACAAGTCTGTCACAAAAACCAATTCAACTTCAAGACGACGTAGACCACCCAATTTGAAAAAACAACCTAATTTTTCCATCCTAATATCAAATAAAAGCCAACAGTAACAGCTATTAAGAAGTATAAAATCTTCAGAACAGGAAAAGCCAGCTTAGTGGCCAGGTTAAACCCTGAATGCATAAACATTAACCACGTAAACATGCTTATCGTCTTTCAGTCCATCAGACCAGATTCAAACTCATCACAGGTATTCAAAATATTGTAAGAAGAGATATGCAAATAAAAGTGTAAAAATAGGAAAACAACAGACAAAACATGATAGAAGCATTCAGCCAAAAAGGAAGACTCAAATCCTAAAGGATCTTGCATAGCAATAAAAATTGGCTGCAGGCAAAGAAATAGAATACATTTCATTTAGTTTTCTTTTTTCTAGTGTAAGGCTTCTTGGTTTGCAGTTTAAGCTCTGGAGGGATTTCTAATTGGTCAGTTTGAGGTTCTTCAGGCAGGGTATAGGGCAAAAATTTCTTGTTGGACCTTACTTGGTTGCAGAACAACTTCAACATTTTTCTCCCCCTCATCCATTTGAGAATTATCTTCATGTGTGTTTTGCTGTTTAATCCACCAATACCAGCCTCCTGTCATTAGAAAAAAAAAGCATCTAAATTAGAAACAAGAAGGTTGTATAAATATACAAGATTAGAATAGCCTTCTATTCTATCCTCATTAAACGCTTTCCCCTCTTTCACTGAAAGATGAAACCACACAATAAATGCAAAGCAGAATCTTGGAAAAGCAGCACAATGCATGTCTCAAGTGGAAATAGGAATAGAGCATAATATCCAAAATGAACCTAACTATACAACACAAGTAAATATTTTTTAATATATGCAGAATGGCATTGTGCTACAGATCTAATCATCAAGGTGGTGACCGTCTTAATTGGCATTGCAAGCCACATATGGTAACCTTTTTCCACATGTACAAGGCAATAATGGAAATTGACTACACAAAAGGCTCCCACTGTGTTAACCAGAACACATTGACCATAGTATGTTATATGTCCCACTTTACACAGCCCTTGCTTCAAGGTGCAGACCTGTGATTGATAGGAAAGGGAAAACTCAATACATCGTCAGAATTCGCAAGAATTAAAAAGGATAGAACAGAAAACAGAGCAAAAAAGAAAATTACAGCATTGCCAGTTTAGTTGGCATAAAATACTAAGGCAATCATTCAAATTCATTAGAAACAAAATGCAACTGGCAAAGAGATACTGTGAAAATGAATGTGGAGTCATGATAACATTATCAACAAATTAATACATCTATATTCAACTCTTTTATTTCATAATCCTAAGGAATTATATGTATACAATTCATTTATAAATTTTGACTGATAATAAAAATCAGTCTCTAAGTTCACAGTAAACCCGGAAGGTAAATTTGAATCCACCGGGTAACAAATGCATGATGAAATGGAAAGGAAAAACTGAAACCCTCTACGGCTAACAAACTTAAGTAATCAGAATCCAATCAAAAGAAGGGTGAAATGATGCAAATAGGGGAAAGCGCTGGGCATTTTTGAAATGATAATAAAAAGAATACAGTCAATAATAAAACTAAAAAAAAAGGAGAAAGGGAGAAAGAAAGAGGACGTTGGCTAATTGGCTTAGATCCATGTGTTGGGAATGGTGAGAGGGCCGTGTTACTTGATGAAAGGGAACTCGCAATAGATTTAGCTTCAGGAATGCTTACCTTTGGATTGATCTTTCTCACATTCACTGCCCTACTCCTCGACATGTTCCGAACCAACATATTTCCCAAGCAACTATTCACTCCCTTTATCCGTTCTACAGATTTTAAAGGGCGTCTGCGGAATCTTGGACTTTGGAGAGAAAACGAAATCGGTAGAAGTATGGATTCCCGATAATAGATGAATTTTTTTTTTTTTTTGGGTAACAGAAATTCCTTGTTTTGACTGTATCGCACTATGTATCATTTGATAACCGAATAAATCCTTTATACTTTTGTATAAATCGAATTTGAAACGGAAGAATTTCAAGTATATTTAGAACTAAATAGATCTCGCCGACATGATTTCCTATACCCACTTATTTTTCGGGAGTATATTTATGCACTTGCTCATGATCATGGTTTAAATAAATCGATGATTTTTTTGGAAAATCAGGGTTATGGTAATAAATTCAGTTCACTAATTATGTAGATACTTTTGTTTGATTCACAAAATTTTAATTGTGTGTTAAATGTTTAATTGTGTGGTTAGGATTGTAGTTTTGCCCAATGGTATGGTTATGAATGGCCATTTTCATATTAAAATGAATCTCTATTTATCATGTAATTATGTTGATATTTAAGAATAAAATAGATAAAAAAATTTATTATTAAAGTAAAAAGTGAGATAAAATTAACTTTACTTTCAAAATCTTAAAAAACTATAAAGAAAGATAAGTTTTTAATTCTGGGTTATTTGATACTATAAATCAAATTTGAGAATCAAATTAAAAAAGGTAAAATTCTGGAAATAATTTAACTTTTTTCCAAACCAAACGCACTTTAAGATTTTAAAAAACCCGGATTGGATGTGTTTGTTACTTTGATTATTGGGTCAGTTTTTGTGGGCATTTTATGTAATTTCATTGGGTCTGAACTTTTAAGTTAGTAGGAAAAATGAAAAAAAAAAAAAGTAATGATGAAAATTTTATTAATTTAATGGTTAAAATTCATAATAATTTTTTTTACTTTATAACTTAATCATTAAATTAATAAATTTTTAATTTACATCTCTTTTCATTTTTTGAACCAAGCAAAACCAAAGAGAGTTTTTATTTGCATTTTTAAAAAAATATATTTTTTAGAGTGTATTTGGATGAACAGTAAAATTAATTATTATAGCAATAAAATTAAGTATTATAATGATGATATCAAAATCAATTGTGATATATGTATTTGAACGTAAATATAACAGTGAAGAGAGATAAAAATGAAAATTAACCCTTAAAAATATTATACTAAAGTTGTATATTACGTAATTTAATAATTTATTAATATATTTGATATCTACAAAATTTGTTAAAATATTTTTATCAAAATAATAAATTTTTTAAAAAGTTAATAATAGTAATACATTTATGGATATTAAAAATAAAAACTTTTATTTAATATATGTACAAATATGTTTTTATTTTACCAACCAAAAGTTGTACTATAAGTGAACTAATTATTATTGTATATTTCTTCACAAATTCAAAAATACATATTATATAATTTTAATATTCACTTAAAGTATTTTTGTAATTAACAAAAATGTATAAGGGCGATTGAAACTTTTAATCTTCCATTTTAGTGCAGTAGACTCAATTGGATGCCTAAAAGTTCAGTGGCATTTAAGGTCTCAAATGAAGGTGTGGTGCAGTTGAAATTAATTCACCATTTTGCCGTACACCTTAAAGTGAGGTGGAAATGACTCCATTGCGCCTCACCGGAGCCCATTTTCAATCCAAATGAGAGGTTAAATGAATTTATTAAATTACTCTTTTTCAAATTCCTTTTTATTTTTAAGTTTTTGAATTTGTAAACTCCATAGTTTTTAAAAATTTTCGGATTAAGAAGTTTTAAAATTTTTGTTTCAGACCATTTAAATCAAGAAAAAAATTTAAAAAATCTGAATACAATGTTTTTTCTATCAATTTAAAAATTAGATTATAATTATTTGAAATAAATTTTGCTTTTTCTTTGTGATATTGTGGATATTCTTCAAAATATTAAATTTTTTTCCTTAATTAATTCTTTTTTATAAACTGTAAATATAACTTACCAAATATGAAAATTCGATAAATTATATACCTTACCAGTGTGCATAAATGAAAAAAAAATAATTAAGTAATTTTATCTAAAAATAATTTTAAAAAATTTAGATGTGGAGAAAAAAAATTGGATGCAAATAGAAGCATCCTATCCTAAAAAAATGGACAATGCAACCACATAATTAAATTAGATTTTGTTTAATAAACTAAAAAGTTAAGGACTGAATTTTTAATATTAAATTTGATAAGCATTGAATTTTAATTATAAACGTTGTTTGATAAAAATTTAAATTTGATAAGCATTGAAAAAATGTTTAGAATCTCATAATCCTATCATAGGGTATGTTGATCATTATCTTTGTATACGTAGATTCCCTGAGATACCTTTAAAAATCCTTTGGTAAATTTTGGTATTATAGTTGTAGGATTGGAATCCTTAAAATACCTTTAAAAACCTTTTATCCAATCGTCACTTTGATGTTGTCTATGTGTATGAGATTTAATATATTTATTATATAAAAAATGACAAGCATTAAAATTTTTTTATTTTATCATTTTGAAGTAAAAATTAAAAACTTTCTAAATTAAATTATATTTTTGTTATCATTATTATAATCTTATTGTAAAAAACAGCCTTGTAAGTGAAGCAAAATGGTAATTTAATCATTCAATTAATGTTTTTAATTATATGATAGAGAATCATGTAAAGGTGAGAGACAACGAATTCTTTCATGTGCTACCAAAAATGGCTCATTGAATTCATTGGACTTATAAAATAAATATGTAAAGCAAAAGAATATAAATAAAATAGTTTTAGTAATTAAAGGCATAAATTACGTTGGAAATATTTATAAAATCGAATAAAAGTTGCATTGATGCTTTGGCTATTTGGGGTTGAAGATGCTAATGAAAAAGAATTTATGCTCTTTTAAACAAAAAAAAATGGAGAAAAAAAAAAGAAAAAAGAATTAATAAAATCAAAATGGGAAAAAGAATAAAAGGAAAAAATGAAATAAAACAAAAAATTGAAAACCCAAGAGCTTTTATCTCGAGGGAGAAAAAAAAAAAAAAAGGAAAAAGCGAAAAAAGCAGCGGTCCACTTGCATTTGCCATAAGCCCATTCCGCAGTATCCACCTGTCTCCTGTCTTTGCCTTTTTTTTTTTCCTTGCCGTGGGATTGAAGAACATCGAAGAAAAAGCGAGAACTGTCTCCAGCCCATTATTCTGGATCTCTTCCTTACTCTTCGCATTTCGTCTGAATTTCCCCTTCATCTTTACTTCATTTCCACTCTCACTCTCAGGTTTGCTCCTTCTCTTTTTAAATTATTTATTATTATTATTTTTTTATTATTTGATCCATCTGCTATCTTTAGCATCACGTTTTTTGACGATTTAAATTCTCCCCAGGTTTTTTGTTAGTAATATTTTTATTTATTAGTTTTGATTATTCAGGTAAACTTGTTCTTCTTTGGTTCCTATTCTCTGTATCCATTTCTGTAGATTATGAAATGTCTTTTACTATTTCAATTTCCGACTCTATCAAGTTCTCTTTTTTTTTTTTTTTTTTTCTTTAGTTTTGAAAATTCCATGTTTGTGAGTTGCGATTGGGCTTTTGATTTTGATAACTGCACATAGGGGTAAGGAAGGATGGAAAACCTTGTAATCCAATAGTTAAAATTCATAACCACTTTCCTATTTTGCAGCTTAATCATTAGATTAACAAGTTTTCATCCTTATCCCTTCCATCCTCTCTACCACGAAAAGCTGTAGAGTTAACAGCACGTGAAGTTTTTTATAATGTAAAGTAATTGTGTACGAACTCAACTGCATATGAAATTTTTTATCATGTAAAGTTATTGTGTACGAAAGTAACTACTGAAGCCCATTTGTTCATCGCCTTCTGTTGGCTATTGCTTTGGACATCGATCTGCTTGAAAAACTTGTTTGTGGATTTTGATGATCGGGGTCTGTGCTTACTAGTGACAGTAACTTTTAGTGACTGAAACTAACCCGTCAGATCTGTAACTAGATGTTGTCTGAATTAAGAATTCCCATGAAGCTTAGTTAAGACTCCAATTTCTGGATATAATCAATTACAGTTTCCTTGATTATAATATATTTTATTTTTAGTAAAAAGAAAGTGTTAACAAATGGATTTTGGCAGTATTAGACATTTTTACTAGGCTTACATTCACTTTGTACCATCAGCTGTCTGTATGTTCTTGCTCCACATCATCGGTCAAGATGTTGTGTAAACAAGTCTGTGCTGTTTCTGAAGTTTTAGAAAGTTTATTTGATCCCAAAGACTGAATATTTTAGTGTCTCGTATGATACTTGTGCATTCATTTCTTGAATAATTGAGGGACTATGATGTTCTTCAAATGCATAATCTACTTTTTCTGCCATTATTAGGTCTATCTGAAGTATGGCAGAAACCGAAGACATTCAGCCTCTTGTTGTCGATAATGGGACTGGAATGGTTAAGGTGAGAACAATCTATTATTCATTTTCTGGTGCCTGTATTTTTCGCTTTAAGGCTGTAAAGATTTTAATAATTGTGTTTTTCACTTTGAGGCTCTAAAGATTTAATAACCCTCACTTATCAAACAGGCTGGGTTTGCTGGGGATGATGCTCCTAGGGCTGTCTATCCTAGTATTGTTGGACGGCCTAGGCACACAGGTGTCATGGTGGGGATGGGACAGAAGGATGCCTATGTGGGGGATGAGGCTCAGTCGAAAAGAGGTATTCTCACATTGAAATACCCTATTGAACATGGTATTGTTAGCAACTGGGACGACATGGAAAAGATCTGGCATCACACTTTCTACAATGAGCTTCGTGTTGCTCCTGAAGAACACCCTGTACTCCTTACTGAGGCACCTCTCAATCCAAAGGCCAACAGAGAGAAAATGACACAGATAATGTTTGAGACATTTAATGTTCCTGCCATGTATGTTGCAATCCAAGCAGTTCTATCCCTTTATGCTAGTGGGCGTACTACAGGTAAGTAGCGGTATCTGATGACTTGAGAAGATGTGATGCACTCTCAAAGTTGAATGCCAATATGTTGACAATGCTGTTATTTCCAGGTATTGTGCTGGATTCTGGTGATGGGGTCAGTCACACAGTTCCCATCTATGAAGGTTATGCGCTTCCCCATGCCATCCTCAGGCTTGACCTTGCTGGACGAGATTTAACAGATGCCTTGATGAAGATCCTGACAGAGAGGGGGTACTCATTCACCACAACTGCTGAACGAGAAATTGTACGTGACATCAAGGAAAAACTTGCTTATGTGGCACTTGACTTTGAGCAGGAGCTTGAAACTGCAAAAAGCAGCTCATCAATTGAGAAAAGCTATGAGCTACCCGATGGTCAGGTAATAACCATTGGAGCAGAGCGTTTCCGGTGTCCTGAGGTCTTATTTCAACCATCACTTATTGGAATGGAAGCACCTGGAATTCACGAGACCACCTATAACTCAATCATGAAATGTGATGTTGATATTAGAAAGGACTTGTATGGTAACATAGTGCTGAGCGGTGGGACTACCATGTTTCCGGGTATTGCTGATCGAATGAGCAAGGAAATCACAGCTCTTGCACCAAGTAGCATGAAGATTAAGGTGGTAGCTCCACCAGAGAGAAAATACAGTGTCTGGATTGGTGGGTCTATTTTGGCTTCTCTTAGTACATTCCAGCAGGTATGGATTATATTTATATTGCTTTTACAAGGGTGTTTTACCTTTAATTTCTATTTTATCAGCTGTATGAGAAAAGTGACTTTAATTCTTGACTAACGTAAAAGGCTGAAGAGTTGATGTTGACAAAACTACATCGCCTTGAATCGTTAAACAAAGAAAGAAACCAAAGAAAGATTTGACTGAAACTTAAAAGCCTTTGCTAGAAAGAACATATTTAAATAAGAATGAAGACAGTGGATCTGCTTAATGTACTTTCCATCTTACATTGAATGCTCCGGATGATATTGTATTTTCTATAGATGAAATCCTGCTTATTTATACTTGGATTGGTTATTCAGATTTCAGACAATGTTACACTTTCGATTCACACTAACTGTTTTGTCTTGTTTGCATTGAATGTAGATGTGGATATCAAAGGCAGAATATGATGAATCTGGGCCTTCCATTGTTCACAGGAAGTGCTTCTAGATATGTGCTTGTGTTCTTTTGCTGTTTCCTTCTCCGATTTGTGGTTTTGGGTTTTCTGATTTGGTCATGATTGGTTTGGCTTGGTTTTCATTTTGTTTGATTTTATTTTTCTTTTCATTTTCATCCATTATGGATGTGTGAGACATATGTAGTGGATATGTATGGTTATATGCTAGATTGTTTTGTAGTGTAAGCATATAATTATTGTATTCTATAATGATAGCATTGTTGCTTGGTCTGAACAATCATATGTAACGTATCTCCTTTTTTCTTCCTTTGGGCTGCATTGTATTTTAAGCAAGCCGAAAGGTTAAAAGTTTAATGCCAGAAAAGTTTGTGACTTCCACTATAAATCATTAGGCATCTATTGGCCGATGCTTTTCAGGAATGTAGGCACAATTTTGTAGTGGATCATTATCTACTCCGTGCTCTATGTTTCATCAGCCTTTTATATTTTCCCAAAACGTTTAAAAGTAAGTTGCTTGGCTTTGATTATTGTTTGCACTACTTGAAGCTGTTGTGAAGCAATGTTGACATAAAAGGTCTAAACTGCTAAAAGAAATAAGAAAAAAAGTTTTTTTTTCTTTTTAGATTTTAATTAAAGAATTGTTTTAAAAAGGGACCTGTGGCTTGCAAGCTTCTTGTAGATTGAATGAGAAAGTTTAATCGGTCGATGCTCCCATGTAGCAAATAAATACTCATAAAAAATTCCCAGTTGAAGAGACAATTGGAGGATCATATAATTTTAACGGGTTAAATATTAGTTTGGTCCTGGTATTATATATAATCTGTTAGTTTGATACTTAAAATATAAAATTATCAGTTTCATACTTTAATTTTTATTTTGTCATTTATTTGGGTATCTTCCACTAACGGTATTAATTAATTTGTATTAATTTGTTGACGTAGCATTAATATTCAATAAATAAAATATTAAAATGTGTTAAGAAAATTTAATCAACTTTATATTATCAATTATCATATCAGTATTAAAGAAAATTTCAGAAAAAAATTTTAAAATTTTAAAAATATTTCAAAATTTTAATAAAAATCTGAAATATTTTTAAAACATTATAATGATTAAAAAATTATGAAAAATTCAAAAATTTAATAAAAAATATAATTTTTTAAAATTTTAAAAAATGAAAATTTTAACATAAATAAAAATATTAAATTTAAGAAAACTATGCAAAAATTTTTAAAATTTTTATTTCATCATCTACTTTGGTATTTTTGACTAATGTCATTAGTTAACTTAGTGACATAAAATTAACATTCAATAACAAGTTAAAATGTGTCAAAAAAAATTTAGTTAACACCGTATCATCAATTATCACATCAATATTAAAAGAAAATTTCAAAAAATTAATAAAATCTGAAATATTTTAAAACATGATAATGATTAAAAGGAATTATAAAAAATTAAAAAACTTCAATAAAAATCCAAAATAAAATAAACATAATTTTGCAAAAATTCAAAAAAAAAAATTTTTAACACAAATAAAAATTTATTAAACTTAAGAAAAATATAGAAAAATTAAAAACATGAAAATTAAAAAAAATGAAAATTTATATGAAAAACTAAAAATTTTATTAAAAAATGAAATCATAAAAAATTCATAAAATCTTAAACATTTAAAAAATTATGAAAATTTTAAAACAAAAAATCTGGAAATTTTAATAAAAATACAAAAGTTCTAAAAATTATAAAATTTAAAAAATAAAAAATTTAAATTTAAATCAAAATCCAAGAAAATTTTTAAAATTTTTGAAAATTTCAAAAAAATATAGAAATGAAAGTTTTATTAAAAAAAATATTTCTTAAAACTAAAAAACCTCAAAACTTAAAAAAATATATAAAATTTTAAAAAATAAAATTATTTGAAAACCTCTAAAAAATTTTTAAAACTTTTTGAAATATATTTTGAAAAATAAAATATTAGAAAATATGAAACATTTTAAAAATATAAAAAATTGAAATAAATTATGAAAATTTAAAAATGCCAAAAACTAAAAAAATTAATAAAAGTACAAAAAAATAAAAAATTATGAAAAAAAAAAGTTTTAAAAATTTTAATAAAAATAAAATTTTCTTAAAATTCCAAAAAAATTCACAAATAATAAAAAAATAAAAAAGTTTACAAATAATCTAAAATTTTCTAAAAAAATTATGAAAATTTTGAAAAAATTCAAAATTATTCAGATTAAAAAGTCTAAAAAATTATGACAGATTTTTTATTTGTTAGAAATTTTCTTAATTCTGTAAAATTTCAGATTTTTTTATTTTTTAATTTTTAAAAATGTTGCAAAAATCTTTTAGAATTTTCTAAATTTTTCAAAATTTTTGAAAAAAATTAAATTTTAAAAATTTTTCTATTTCTTCAGGGTTTTTTTAATTTTTAAGTTTTAAGAAATTTTTATTTCTTTTGTAATTTTCAATTTTTTTGCAACTGTTTTGAATTTTCCTGGATTTTTTAATAATTTTTTTATGATTTATAATTTTTTTGAAGTTTTTATTTTTTTATAAAATTTTTTAACTTTTTTTTATAATTTTTTAAAAAATATTTTAGATTTTAAGAAACTTTTTAATTATTCCAAATTTTTTAAAAATTTTATTTTTTTTCAAAAAATTTTAAAATTTTTTTAGTTTCTCATATTTTTTTAGTTTTGGTGAAGTTTTTTAATTTTACTATATTTTATTTTTATTAAAATTTTCATTTTTGTTTTGAATTTTTAATAATTTTTAATTTTTAATTTTATCAAAATTTAAGATTTTTTTAAATTTTTACTTTTTTAAATTTTTTCAGATTTTTAAAATTTTTCAAAATTGTTTTTGAATTGTTTTTGAATTTTTTGAAGTTCTTTTGAATTTTTTTGATTTTTTTTAATACTTATGTAACAATTGATAATATGGTGTTAAGTGAATATTTTTTATGCATATTAGCATCTTATTCGATGGTAATGTCATATTAATAAGTTGATTGATGATATTAATCTGAAATGCCAAAAAAAAAATCAAAATGAAAGTTAAAATATTAAATGATAAATTTATTTCCTTAGTTATCAAATTGATAAAAAAAAAAAAAATGGTGGAAAGGTCAAATTAGTATGTTTTCAGAAGGTAAGGGTCCAAACTTATCGACTGCATTTAGGATCAGTGAGAAATGCGAAGCAGATGGAATTGGAAGTTCAACTCTCTTCCAATATAACAAGAAGCTTTATTGTTGGAAGTTGAATGCCAGACATAGATGCAGTGCTTAAAAAAAAAAAAGAATCCAAAAAAGAATACCAGAGACAGAGAATCTGCAGAATCATTGTCAAGCGTCCATCAGAAACTTTTAATCACTAGAAACCCCGAGGCTGAATATGCGATCGTTTACCAGGAAAAAGCAACTAGAAACCGCTTCACCATGTTTAATATATTATTGGTTGCTAAGATGTCTTACTCTTACGGTACCTATTCAACAGAAACCGTTTTTATTTTTACAGATCTCTGTTTCAATCTTCTTACCCCTGTTACTATTTGATATCTTTAAAATTCAATTTCTTTCGTCTTAACCAACCATGATTCTGGCTAATGTACGACATGCTTGACAACATTTGAAGTTCTCCAATTCGTAAGAAAGGTTTTCCAATATGTTAAATACAGAGGTGTACTCGAAGAAAAAAAAATGTAAAAGCCAGTTTACTTACGCAAGCTATATGAATTAGACGAGCAACCAAAGCTGCTATGGTTCCCGTTCGGGCATCGCTGTTTGGGAACTGTTGTCAACGCATTGGTGGATATTCTCGTCTGAGGATGGAGATGGAGAAAGACAACTACAACGACAAGTGGGACAAGAGTAGTGGGAAGACAACCACTGCCGGATACATTGTACATGGAATCCATGCTTACACTTTGCCAATACTTGAATTCCCTCTCCTTCTACGAATTCAGACAAGCAAATAGCACATTCTGCCTCTGCTCCTGGCAACTTCATCCCGGTTGAGTAAACCAGCGTTGTAGCTGTCACCAAAATTGCTGCAGCTGCCTCTGGGATAGGCTTTCTCTGCTCAAGTTCTTGTTGGGTTTGAGAAAGGTGGTTGTTGCGGGAATAGCGTGGGCGACGCCCACCACCGTCACGTAGGAAGCAGCGGATGGCTGCGTTAAGAGCCAGAAAGCATATTAGAGCACAGAAGAGAATGATTAAGACCATGGCTGCGTTAGTTTCAAAGTCATTTGAGTTGGAGTAAGGCCGCCAACTGCAAGTGCGGGGGTTACATGTTGTGGTTGAGTTGGAAGACATATGTGGTTCCCCGGAAGATAGCGGTGGGGACATGTGGATGAGGTGTTGAGAGGTTGCTGCTGGCGGTTGTCGCATTTAGTTTTCCCTTTCTGTGTTATCTGCAATATTTTCCAGTTTGGAGGTGTTATGGGGTTATGACTTCAGAAGAAAGGTGAGAATGCTTTTGGAATTTCAGGGTTTCGGCTTCTGAGTGGGAGATTGCGTGAGTAGAAGAAACGAGGATGTTTTATAGGAATATTTTGCCAGACAAGGCATCAAGAAATGCATACGTGCACTTGAGGTTTAACAATTCCTTTGTTCTCATTTTTCACCTTCGCTTTTTCTCCTTGTAAAAGTGTGAAAAAAGCCGTTAAGCCGTGTTCTTTTCTTGGGTGTTTCTCAATGTCCCTTCTTCCCGGATCAATCACATATCTAGGTTTTTCAATTCTTCATCGCCTAAAGTAAGCAATAATCGTTGTTTCGCAAACTTTTTCATAATGTTAGGGGCAGGTTGTTGGGCTAAAAGATTCTAATCAAATCACATCAACGGAAGTAAAATCAAACAATAAATCAAATACACGAGAGATAATAATTTAACATGGTTCAGTTCAATTGACCTACATCCATGGATGAGAAATAAGATCCACTAGTTGCAGAGAATTACAAATATACATCAAATCATCAATCTCATTAAACAATCAATACTCATAAGATACTCTCAATCTCCTCTAGTCTTATGGAGTATTCTCAACCCAAACAAACACAAACTCAAACCCTTGTGCACCCTTTCAATATAACCAAATACATACTCATATGCTCCCACACATCATATTTATGTGGACCATTTCAGTCTCCTCTCGTCTACTCACAAACAAACATACACACCCATAAGACGTAGAGCTCAATACTCTTATGGGATGTCTATCCTACAAAACCCTACAATTTTCTTATATTTTTTTCTCATACCTAACCCTGTAGAGACTTCAATTATGTATAACCATACAAACTTACCCATTAAGAATACCTTTTCTGTTAGAATTCTTTTTCTGTAAGTCAAATTTGTCTATTAAAAATTCATTTCCTTTTAAAATTCTTTTCTTGCAAATCAAACTTAACTATTAAGAATCCTCTTTCTCTTAGAATTATTCTTTTGCAAGTCTTCTTATCCATTAAGCAATATTTGACAAATTTCAAACAAATTTTTAATAAATCTCAAATAAATCTTTTATGAGATTTGAGTCAATATTCTTAACACAGTTAACTTTTTCTGTAAAATTAAATCATGCCCGACCTCTTCTATTCTTTTTTAGTATATTTTTAAGATTATATCTTGCTGTCTTGCGTTCTATACTCGTTCCGAAATGTTCAAGCTAGAAAGTACCTATATGATTCGACAAATTTCGAGATTGTATGTAGCATTAATGTTATATGGCGAAGGAGCTTCATACCGTGCTTGTATATAGCTCTTAATCATAGAGATGAGCATTAACAACAATTCCAGCCAAAACGACGCTTATGCAAGTTCCACATATTTTGATAGGCCTTGACAAAGGTGCCACAATCTAACATCCGACTAAGAGACAAGAGACTTCAATGATTTATAATAGTCTGAAATGTAAACAGTAAATTACCCATAAAATAAAATAAAATAAAATAAAATAACCATCATTAAGATAAATGGATTTGACGATACATATATTTATATCATATAAAATTCTAATAATTTATTTATTCATGTTATATTTTACATAAAAATTATATATCAAAATTCATGTTTATATAAAAATATAAAATTTATTTTTTTATTTTATCAAACTAATGTAAAGATTTATTAAAATTTTAAATCACATTACTTTTATTTTTTTCATATTATTGTTATATCATATCAAATTTTTAATTGCTAGATATCAATACAATGAAGCAATTTTTAAATGATTCGTTGATTACTTATTAGCTCATGGACGACAGTGTTTAAGGTAAGCCCCGTTGAGAGGTGAAAGTTGTTAGGATAAGTTTGCATCACTCTTTACACAGGGTAGACCCCAGGAAAGGCCTATAAGCTTTTCGAAGACGGTAGTGGACAAGGTAAGTCGATAAGGTTTCCAGACCCGAAGTAAACAAAGATGCTGATTGGTGTTTTTTTTGTTGTATTAAGGGAGAGTGAGAGAAGGGTGTCTCATAGATTTCAGAGAAACGTAGACCCTTCTTAAGACATCGTAGACGCAGTAACAAAATCCCGTTTAAAATGTTCCAAAAAACAGATGGGAGAGAGACTGAGCGCGAGGGAAACAAGCTAAGGTCCACATGAGTAAATGAACATCAACATGGCATGGCATGGCATTATGGCAGGACGCTGGCTTTGAGATAAATGCTATCCAAAGATGTCATTATGGACTGACCCACCAGGTCCGCCAGCAGCAGTGTTACCAGAAACTTCTTTCTGAAATCAATGGTGCGTGAATATAAAGCCAAACAAGAAATTAAAATCACGAAAACAACAAGGACGCATAATGCATTGCAATTCGCCTTCGCCTCCAGGCAACTGCACAGTGGCACATCTAATTCTAATGAGTAATGCCAAATCTTTTTACCTGCCACCATCACAACTAATGCGTTGGGTTGAGGTTGCTTTTACTGCAACATTTTAGACGATATATTCATTTTCCTTAATTTCCCACGGCTAAGACTAGTTGTCTAGTTGATCTTGATTAAGTTTTTCCCCATTAATATAGCAGAAGAAACTAATAGATAGTGCCCACTGAACTATATATCCCATCGTCTGCTGGTAAAGTACTTCTCAATTCTCTCTTTTTTTCTTGGGATAATCATTGAACGTGGCATATATAGGTTAATGTCAAGACGATACTGTTGAAAGTCTGGAGCAGACAGAAGCCTTGAAACGTTCGTTGGGTACTCCAATATTAGGATACTGAAATTTGTAACATGGTTTTATTTGAAGGGGCTCAAGCAGCCGAAGAATATTCATTGATTGCAAAAGGAAAAGACCGTGAGCAGATACGTTTCTTTCCACATTAACTCTAATGGGATTCGATTTGGAGTTTGTAGACCAAAAGCTATGTGAAATTGGTGAGAGCTAAAAAGTAAGCACACAAGAACTTGAAGTAGCTATTGGTCGAACATGTTTGTAATTATGATCTAATTTGCTTCAGAAAAATCTCACTGTAAAATGATGCCAAATATTGGTTACTTGATGGGGAACTTCGGGCAGCTTTTGGGCTTTTTGGGTATGTTCATTGGGTCTTTGAACATCAGGTCCTCAGCTATTTTAGTGTTTTAGGGGGCTTTTCGCTCGTAGGGCTTTCCTCCATTTTCGTTTTGTTGGGCCCCGCAGCATTGCGAAAGCCATTCTCCAGCTAACGGTAATTTTCTTCTCTTTCATTCTCTTTTAGACTCCATTTGGATATAAAAGCAACCACGTTACAGTTAGATTAGGCCACTTTTTGGCCGAATCGCATCTTAGAAATGTGTTTCGCAAAATTACCAACGGTGGCAACGGAGCATTTTAACCGCAACATAGCCTCTAAACGACACTGAAACATAATGTTTTCAGCCGTTTACCATGATGCATACGAGCAATACTATCCTCACTGTTTACTTTTTAATTCTTATTTTACCCGCATCTGTACTTACATGATTAAAATGTTCTTATTACATGTAAATTTTACACTTCAATTTTATTCATTTTATGTTTTTTAGTTCACTTTGATATTATATATATATATATATATATATACACCTTTATATAATAACAATCCCTTTTTAAGTTTTACATTGACAACTCAAAAATGTCAATAGATGTAGATTGAGCGGGTAATTTTGGGATGCGAGTGGGTTTTTAATTTGGATACTTGTTTCTTTGATTAGCTTGGATTCCTTTCTCAATGACTCCAAGCAAACCCACACCTTTGAATCTTCATCGAAACTTTTGGAACTAACCAAACACCATCAACCAGCCTTTTTTTTTTATTTTCCTCCTACGCTCCCAACATTAAATTTATCTACAAAACTCAAAACTAAAGAAATCAAAATACGCTTAGGCTACTTTACATTGAAGCAAATCCATAAGCATATGGAGGTCATGGTAGAAGACGAAGCTGTAACACTTTATAACAATCCATCAGTAAAGCCAAGAAAAACCCATTCTCAATCAAAGTGACATGGCCCAAATGCTCTGTGACAGTGCCATTATCGAAGTTTCAAACCTTAACTAAGCAAATATTGTCGAAGAAATAGGCATTTGTTATTTAGTCTTGTTACAGCTTTTGGTTTTTCATTTTTTTTTTTGGAGTTATTCATTGTTGCATCTTTTTCATTACTAGTTCAGGTGAGTTTTTGGATTTTTTTTTTATTTGAGACTATAGAGAATGTTTTTTTTTTTGAATTTTTCATAATTTTAATTTTTTTAGGTTGAGGTGTTTGGATTTTGTGGGTATGTAAGAAATGATGTGTTTTATTGTTTTCATTATGGTTTCTGATTTCATGCACTAGTTTCTTTGCATTCGATAATAGAGTTTTTCATTTGCATGTGTTAAAGGTTATTTTTCTAAGTATTTGCTTTTATCTTTGAGTTGGTCTATTTCTTATGCATGTGTCTTTTTTTTTTTTTAGAAATGGTCAGTGCTTTTTTTTTATGAGTGTTTTTTATTTGTTGGTGAAGTTTTGAAACGTGGGTTACAAATTAACAAAATTGGTGTTTAGTTTTAATTTTATCTTTGTTTTGTGGGTATGGTGTTTGGATTGACAGAACTGTTGTTCTTTTTTTGTATCTTTATTCAATTAATTTTGTTACTGAATTTCATGATAAAAAAAATATAAGAGTCATGATAAGAGAAATATAAGAGTTTTCAATGGTTAAAAACAATTTGGGAATAGTCTCGCCATTCAAGTAAATAACATCTTCTTTAGGTTTAAATTTTAAATATTTGCTTATAGTATTTTGTGAATGATTTGCTTGATATTCATAAAAGCATCTTGGAGCTGATATGAAATAGATTCTATAACTAGTTACTGAAAACAAAAAGAAGCAACTTAAAAGCAAAGAGTGCAATTAGAAACAAATAGCGACACAGCTAAAAAAGCACATCTAAAGAGAGAATAGTAAAGCAACAAACCAACCTAAAACATTAATTTAGCCAAAATCCAAATGCTAAAACATGAAGAAAAAAAATCTAAAAAATATCTAGATTGAAAAACAACTTAGGATATAAGCTTATGACTTTAGAGAGTGTTAGAAATGAGAAGAAAAAAATAAAAGGAGTTTGACCTAAAAAGAGGGATCTGTAGAATGATAAGAAAGAAATAAATCCAAGATGACATTAACAAGATGTTGTTCAATCATTTTCTTGAGGCCATTAAAGATGCAACTGTAGTTGTTATTCCTAGATACCTTAAAAAGCACTTGAGAAAGAAACCAACAGAGTAATA